GTTTAAATGCACTACAAACTCATGGCTTATCCCTAAATTTCCAACTTTCACCTTAGCAGTATGGAGCTCGCACTCAGCTATTTACCATTAGCCTGACGATTAAGTTTTAAGAGGGTTAGAAACCTGAAGCATAGAGCATTTCGCATTGATTAATCACCTTTTGGGATACGCCACGCATTTCACTCGCGTTCAGAAACATGACGGCAGTTGAAAACGATTTGGCCTATGCAATGGACAGCCATAATTTAGGCCAATGTTTTCATCTATCCAGGCGATATAGGGGTCAGTCAGTCGATCCCGTGCAGATAAAAGGCTTTATATACCGTGATTGGGGATTCATTCCTATATCTGACCCTTGGGCTATGCATAAATCAATTTCTGGGTACCACTTTTGCCCTGGAAATTCCATACTTTAGGCCAAGATTTCCAGGGACTATAATGAGATCCACTGGGTCCAGCGCGACTTTGCGACTTGAAATGGTTAGTAATGACGAGCACTAGTCCATTAAGCAAGGCTAAATGGATTCAATCACAATGGGAATTTACGCTACCACTTAACCCAAACATCCCAAATAATCCTGTAATTTATCAATTCCCATTACTTCAGCTTTTCAATTGACAAGGGCATCGGCCCGTAGCAAAAGATCAGATTTAATAGTGGAGTATAGCAGAGAGACGCGGCTGTTCGGCAACGTGGAAAGGGCTAACAAATCTCTTCGAAGAAAGATTCTGAACTTCCGCATTGATGAATCTTGTCAATGATCGCATCAAACCCGATGTTGGACTAGAAAGATGGTTTACTTTTGGAGCCGAGCCAGAGAACTGGGATTTCCCTTCCATCAGCTTCAACATCGATTCGATCAATTCGTAGTGCGTCATTTCGCCTGCCACTCGTTGAGGTATATTACAACGCGCGCGCACTGAGTGTGTGTGCGAGAGGCATCCACGACAGCGCTTTGCCGCGATTTCTTCGACAACGTTCTGGGATTGCAACTCAGCAAGCTCTCAGCTAACAGGAGGGCCGATAGGACCGACCGTAGTCAGGAAATTTTCTCGAAATATGACAAAATCCAATGGTGTGACTGTGCACATTTCACCGACTGAATATTGAATTTTAAAAAATCACTGGATGCTGTATTTTCTGACAACGTCTGGGATTTACACATGAACCGTCCAAACAGTGATAGGCATCCTCTAATCGGTCAGCCATCATTTGAAGGAATACAAACCGACAAGGAAATACGGAAGACTTTGAACCAGACCATGAGTCAGTGAAATTAGAGCAGACTATGACGACCCCTAAAGGAAATAGTGCTTAAAAAAAGTGTTTCCGGAAAATTTTTCATGACTTGATCGCCACCTAACAGCAATCCCTTAGGTGAACGCAACCGGATCCAAAAGGCTTTGAACACTCTCAGATGTTAGGCTAGAAAGTCCTCTGTAGGAAATTCTGGAATGATTGGTCCAACTTTCCAAAGCATTTCGCTGCATGAAGTTCCCACGAACAGAGTTCATCTTACGAGTTCCTAAGCTGACGTTCGCATTTACGGCTGACAAGTAGGTTGTGTGGGAAAGGACCGTGAAACTTCATGGCTGGAATCAACTGCTTCAATTTTAGGTATGTATTCCTGAAACTAGATAAGGAGATTATAGCTCTTAGCCGCGGGCCATATCTCCAGGGGCTAGGGCTAACATATTCTTGGCGGTCCCTTTTTGCGGAAATTCACCACTTCCAGTGCGGCCCAAACAACATGGGGCAACGCCCCATTTCCTGAAACACAAATGCCGACCGTCATTTAAATAGTGGCCGAATGAACGGCTGATCCTCGTTAGAATTTGCGGTTCTGGGAAGAACCGTGCTCTTCAGTCGAACGGGTTTTATCTGCTTTCCGCAGCTATCACCGGGCCCACTAGAAAGTGGAAATAGCGGATGGAGTGTAGGAGGGGGTCAAAATAAATATGTACTACCTTTGTGGAAGCGACTTTCAGATAGCACGACTTTAGGAGGACCCTTTTTGAAGCTCTTCCCTAACCAGAAAGGGGCTTCCTACACCGACTTACACAACGGGTAAACAGATCCTTTACATTTCCTTATACGCCCAAAGCAAAAAAATCCTCATCGAGTTTGGAAAACTCATGACTCAGAAAGAAACTCACAAAATTTGGCTATGAAGGGGCCAAAAGGGAGGATTTTTCTTCAGAAATAGGTCTTATAAGGGTCACAAGGCATCAGTTCCTTGATGCCCTTGTGTTCAGTCAATGTGCTGCAGCTTGCGAACTCTGAACGGAGTGATCTAATCTTCAGTGCTGATGTAAGCGCTGACGATGTCCGCCCACGCAATGGTGCTCATCGGCAATGGCATAGGCGATCGATCAGCAAAATCGTTGAGCGTTTTTCGTGGAGAGAAAACTCAAGATCCGGCAAGCGCTTGAGATTTATTTGCCATGCAGACGGTGAGCGCGGGCGATGAGAGGAGGCCGAAGATAAGTGTGCATACGGCGAGGCTTTCGAGGAATACGCTAAGATACTGTTGAGGTTCAAGAGGTGCTAGAAGAACGAAACCGGACTGAGGACGGAATGACTGAATAACTACTGACTGTACATAACAATGCAGCATGTACACAGCGCCAGCATGAAAATGTACGTGAAAATTGCCTTGAAAAATGGAATATCTTGCAAGGAAATTACAGTAAGAAAGGAGATTTACCTTTTCCTTGGACAGTTGCTCGAAGATCGGCAGCCATTCCTCAAAGGTAATGCGCTTTTCGCCTTTACGCTTGAACTCCTGTCCCGAAGCCTAAAACAAGCAGATCGGTTGTAAACGATAGAGGAAAGTTGCAAGAGAAAATTTCGACTTAGAAAAGATAGATATTGATTGACAAACTGTGCTAGCATACCTTGACGACCATGGCATTGGTCGGCTTGAGTCCAGCAGCCCGGACGACGTCCCCGATTTGGGTGCCGTCGATCTTGCCATCGAGTTCCTCATCATAGAGGTTGAAGATCTCCTTGAGCTGATCTGTAAGTATACAGGATTCAGATAACATAAACGGGTCCTGCGACGAAATCCATGAATCGACATGAAACGGACGAACCCTGAGACGGCATGTTGAACGTGCGGTGCTACGCGACTAGAATCCCACTCGGCTAACGCGCAGTGTACAGCGAGAAGTTGCTGCGCTACGCCCCAGAGCGGCTATTTTTATTCCTGAGGAGGAGCGAGCCCGGATGTAATACGACCTCAGAGAGCATTCACTCGGAGGATACGCAGCATAGGCGGGCTCCCAGAGTTTACCGAGAAAACGGAGGCCGACGAGGACGAGTGCCAATGGCAGGATACGGTATCCACGAGGGAGGAGGCAGAGATATTTGTCGTACCCTCGAAACTCGGGCCCAATGCGCGCGCACTCCCGTACCGATGTAACACACTTTCGCATGCTGGACCCGGCTTGATCTAGTAATTCGCCAAGGGCAAAAAAAACAATTGCCAGTCATTAGTGCAGTGCGGTGTGCCGCTTTCTGGTCCCTCACTGTGGCTCTGTTTGGAGGGGTCTTCAACAATCTGATGAAAATCGACTTCTTATCACGAAAAAGCTATTTTTGGGGCCGACCTTATCTTGGCTGATAAGAGCAGTAATGTCTTCCGTTCCGCGACCTGTGCTATTGACCAAATGGCCATTTCGAGGCAATGAGAACTGGAAGTCGTAAGGGAACAGGGGGGGGGAGGGCAACCGGAGATTGTACAATCTAACTGCGATGTTCTATTCTTTCCTACACTTTATGGGTTGCGCCATGCCTTTGACTAGTTAAAGTCGTGGCTACTCTTATAAGCGGTTAAAAAGGTTTCAGGTTGGCATGCGGTAGGACGTGCGCTGGCGTTACAATGGTCCATTAGTAGAGTACTGTCAAAGAAGGGCTTCACTGGAAGGAATGGTACAGACAGGTTCAGGTTAGGTTGAAAGATGCACAAATCAGCAAAGGAGGCTAATTGATGGTGAGTTC